TACAAGGGCTAAGAATTACTCTAAAAATAAATATTTGTCAAGATTTTCAGCCGATGACATTAAAAGAAAATTTCTGGCTTTAAGAAAATGCCAGATATCACAAGATGCATGACAAAACAGCAAGAGTTGCTGACATTCAGTTTTCTTCCATTGGAAAAGATACTAGTGGGTTTTTTAAACTCCACATGCTGAAGTTTTCTAAAATAGATTTCCTGTCCTTTCTCTAAGATTGCTGAACCCCATTCAGCCAGGGCACAGATAACATCTTTGGATAAAAGATTTGAAATCACAGTTTCTCCCATACAATGTTCAAGCTTTACAGAGGAAAAGCTTTTCTTCCCCAGAGCCGCAAACTTCACAAGTTATTTCCTCTGTTCTGTTCCCTCAGGAGGTGTTATAGTCTTATAACCTGTCAGACTTACCCAGTCATATTTGTAATTTATATTTAGTATAAGGTCATTTCTTTTCAGACCACCTCTGGATATTCCTAACACAAAAAGTGAATTCTGATTACTCACTTTTCTCCCACAGATTAGATACCTTTGCCAGTGTTACGGTGCACTAGAAGTCTATATGAAGCAACTTGCTGAATACTCAAAAAACACAGCCAAAGATAAAAAGACAGACATTACAGGATTTTGCTGCACCTTGAAATATAATTGCAAAACAAAGAGAATGAGATTTCCCTTACATTTAAAATAGCACACGTTTAATTAGAAGAGGAAAAAAACTTAGCTGAAATACATATACACACACACACGTTCTACTCAGAGAGGGCACCTCTCGGACTTTTTTATCCAGTCTGATCACAGCCATGGAGAGAAGGTACCCGTGTCAGATACTATCATTTCAGAACAAGTTAAACTCACAGACAAAAATGGTCAGGACAGTCCTAATTTTCAAATGGCAAAAGATGCCAAAGGGGCATCTCTGCAACGATACCCTACTGAACAGGGGAAAGGGGATGGACAACTAGAAAGAAACAGATTTGGAGAAAGTACAGAAACTTGGATAGTTAGCAGAGATCTTATTGGGTTTCAGGCAACAGTCAAAGCAAAAGGAAAATTGCTGTAGAAATTAAAACTCCATTTATGACCTTAAACAACTCAATCCTTTCCTGCACGCTTCTGCTAGAAGTGTATAGTTTCTTACCAACACAGAGCATTGTCGTTCAGAGCCAGAATTTAAGTGAGAACCACAATGTAAAAGTTATTAACAAGCAGCTGTACTGCATCATTCAAAAGGTCCATGCAGCCAAATAATTCCTCTTACGTGGTGATCAGTTGAAGGGATTGCCTAGGGAAAGGTTTAAAGGGTAAATATACAAACTTATTTCCCAGTCTTCAAGAATTCATGGCTGAAGGACGGATATTTTGTTTAATATCCATTGTTGGACTTTTTTTCCCCCTCATGAATTTGTCTAATTGTTTTGGGAATATATCACATCTTGTGGACATAAGTTCTACGGCATATTAATACATGGTGTAAAGTATCTCCCTTTTTGTATTGTGAATCTGCCTGCTGATAATTTCATTGGATGACCCCAGTTCTTGAATTATGGGAGGGAGTGAATAACTATTCTCTATTCGCCTGCTCCACATACAGAATGACTTCATACCCTGTCCTCCTTCAGGCTGAGTCGTCATCTGTTTAGAAATTTCTGAGAGAGAAATTTCCTTATCTGTGCTGATCCTAGGTACCTCTCTCACCATGCTTTCTATTTATAGTATTTTGGGGGGAAAGGATGGGAGGGAGGGATAAGATCAGCACAGTAAGAAGCTACACCATTCCTTAGTTATTCTTCTCTTTTGTTCAGTAACTTGATCATTCTAAGATGCCTGCAAGCATGAATATGCAGTTACGCAAGATTTCAAAATTTTTCTTTGTAATTATAAGGAAAAAAAAAAGAAAACACTATACTGTCTTCAAGCCCAACTCAAGCCAGCTTCTGAGTAAGTAATCTGGCCTTCTCCACACTCATATTGGCATCCCAGTTACACAACATTATTTGTATAGGCAGACCAACCTTGCAAAACTTCCAGCTTTGATCTATTTTCCAGACTGGGTATCTGCTGCAGGTTTAACATGTTTGGAAGTTCTAGGGAGCAAAACCAAGCCAATTCAGATAATGAAATTAAGGAAAAGTATGTCTTGTTCAGCTCTTTTGAAAAGCTCCAATGCCTTCGTAAACTACAGCAGAGATTTTAAATTGGCAGTAAACTGCCCTCATATCGGGGATATATTTTCCCATTCCTATGAAAATATTACCAAATTTGGCCTAGTTACAAGTCTTTACTGAGTCTATATAAACTGTGGTTTTCTAAAGATTCACTAGAGTTTGACAGCTGAAGATGAAATCAGTATGCACAATCTCCTGTCCATGCCTCTGTTAACCAGACTGAATATTCATTATTCTCTTGAAGCAGTTAAGGTTTGTCCTGGATCTACCAAAACTGAACTGGGCTTTTCCTGCACCTGAAGCTTCCAGAGGTTGCTATGACTCCAGACAAAAATTTGAAGTGGTTCAGCTGCACATCCATGATCGCTGACACCTGTGTATTCTTGCCTACCCAGTACTATGCATTCTGGCACGGGAGCCCCTTGGCAGAAAATGAGGAGGGAATCATAATGGCAGAAATACAGAAGGAACAAAAGAAAGCAGGGAGGTAGTTGAAACTAGAACCAGGATCCTGACAGAGATATGCAAAGACTGAAAACATGGTAGTTTCACATCAAGATGGAGAGGGAGGAATGGAAGGATTGATTTCAGAAAAGGCTAACCGGAGGTTGTGATTAATTGCTGGGGCAACACCAGATTTAGAGAATGACATGGGAGCTTAGAGAAGGAAAACAGAGTGTAAAGGAAAGTGGTGTGAAGACATTCTTGGAACAGAACAGGGACAGAAAGAATGAGGAGTACATAAAGCTTCCTCAAGTCCACATCAGATCTCATTATCCCTGACTCTCAACATTCTTCCTCTATCAGCAAATATCGCTAAAACTCACTGAAAGAGTCCTCATCCCCCTCTAGTGCTCATCCATGGACGATCCTATAAAGTAATTTTGACATATTTGACATAAAAACAAAGACTAAATAGAAAGAACAATCCACGCTTATGTCTCTCACTGCGAGATGATGTGTAACAAGCTTCCTATTAGCATATACATATACAAGGAAAATCCCTTCATTCAGGAGCAAAATGTAGGGATCGTCAAAAATTACTGCTGGAACTATTCAGTGCCTAAGCAGCAACTCTTAAAAAAAAAAAAAAAAGAAAATTACTGAAAATTTTTAAAAATGTAAAAAAATTCCCTTTACAGAAGCAAACTGCCTCTATACCACTTACAATTAATAATTAAATATGCTTTAAGGCCACATTTGATACAGAAAGGATATTTAACATCACTTTCCCATCTGCTGGAAGCAACTTTAAAAATACTCACATTTTTAAACGATGAGATAGCTGCACACTGAAGTAATTTGCAAACAGTTTTAAGAAAGGTGCCATGGCTCTTTTCTGCTTCAAGCACTTGCTCTTCTGGGAAGAAAACATGGTATGCAACCATTTTAACTAATACCTGTGGAGAGAGGAAAAACACCTAATGAAAATCAGAAGCACCTGTGCTGGGCTTCAGCCTTTCCTGGCTAGAGATCAGAAGTGAAAGAAAAAGCCTTAACAAGATTTCAGAGTGCACTATTCTAATATAAACATCCAAGGGGCACATACTCATAAGTAGACTACAGATGTTTACAGCCATAAGAAGAACCACTGCTCATGACCTAAAGCTAATTTTTGTCCTTACCTAAGGGCAGAGTTCTGCTCCCTTGTCAGCATACAGAGTCTGTAAGCACTTGCATAGTGTCTAAAGGTATGACAACATTTCAGCGGTAAGGTGAAAAGTTCTTCAGAACCTGCAAAGACACTGCTACTGGTGGGAGTGAGAAAGTGGCCGAAGTGGTAGGAGGGAGGAGACAGCAGAGGAAAAGAAAACAACAGGTGATTTTAGCTAAAAAAGGCCAGGAATTATTGACCTAAAACATACATGCGTTCAGTTTCACTTGAAATCTGAGCCATAAGGGAAAGCCAACTAGAAAGAACGCAGTATTTATTTGTTAAAATACAGAACAGTTTGTAAAGAGTTTTGATACTCTCTACTAATAATTAGGCTTCACAATTTTTTTTGAGAAGTTGAGCACTGCCTATTTTAGGGATGGGGAAGGTGAAGCTGAACAGGTAAATTAATTGCCCAAAATGTACCAGTGGCAACATCAAAATTAAAACCCAGCAGATTCTCATCCTATATAACCATTATGCAGCAGTCCCTTCCTTTTCTACTCTTGGGAATACAAGTTAATTTCTCCCTTGAAAATCCCTATGGATGCTAAGCTTTAAATTTAAAGTTCTAATTAAAACATTAACTACTGCTCAAATTGCCAATTTAATCTTGTGCTCTCAGATTACTGCTGTTACAGCTGGTAATGTTAGGGAGAAAACCTGACTCCTAGCCAATCAAGGTATTATCCTCCCTTGATAACCAAAAAAGCCTCTCAACAAAATTCTGCTGCATTATTCAAGGGCAACCTGCAGCCTAGCAAAAAAGGGTGTTTTCTTCATATTCCAGATTACTATGTCCCTACAGTTGGACAAAGGGAATGGGGTCAGGAAGGGGATTTTTTCCCCCCTTTCTGTATTAGAGGAAAAAAGTAATAAGGAACCCTGTTGCTTACCATATTTTGGCACAAGTAACTGCTTACAGTTTTAATTTTATTTTCCTGTTCAAAGACAAAAATACACACACATTCCCCAAATAATCCCAACCACCTATCAGCATGGAATTTGCAAAAAGACCTAACTGGGTGAGACACTTCCAGAAACAGTTGGTTTGGAACCTGATTCAGTTAGCCATTTTTCACAGTCCTAGCTTAATATACACTCAAGTATGGCCAAATTGTCAAGTACACTGAGAACCCACTAGCTATTTCTTGGGCTGGGGCACTCAATTCTGAAAATTAGACAGGTTCTAGACAAGTTAACAGCTGACTCCCACTTTTGTTCTAAAATGCCTTGCCTCAGTTTTCTGTCTGAAGCTTTCTCCTGGAGCTGTGCAAGTCCATAAAATATGAAGTGGTTTGATAAGTCTGTTATCAAATGTAGGTGTAAAAATGCAAACTACAAAAAATGAATTGCATTTAAAGAAAACTTGCTGAAAGCTAAGGCAATTGATAAACCTTACCAGAAGTAATAAACCTTACCAGAGGATATCACTTTGTAGAGGTGTAGATCCTAAAGCTTAAGCACTGCCTATCTGGACTTAGTGCCACAAACACTTGGTTTCTTTCACTTGGAGTCAGTTAAAACTGATTTTAAACATTACACAATTTATTTCATCATGTTTTCATTATATTCCTCCCAGAGGCAAACTTGCCCTCAGTTGACACAAATTTTAACATACTGCTTACTAAATATGGTGAGGGGATCGTCTTAGTGAGTCATCCCGGCTTCCCTTGTTCGAGATACAACACACACCAGAACAGACACAACAGAAGATGGGAGCTCAGAGATCTCTCCACTACTACATAAAACGATCATCGACAACTTAAAATTGCTATGTCCAGCACTGGATGTGAGACTTGAACTTGTGAAGTTATAAACGGTTTCACAGATACTCCTTCAAGTCACAAAGCAAATTAACATTATTAGCAATATTATTAACATTAAAACCACAACTAATGTTTTAATCTACCACTAGGAATTGTAGAATCCACAGCAATAAATTACTCAGTGATGTTCCAAAACCATAAACACTTATATGTGCTGAACCATGGGTAAACATACTGATTTAAAAAACAGCCATAAGATGATAGAGAGCCATAAACATAATACCTGGACAGTTAACCTATAAAACACATAAAAAGAAGAATGAAAATTTTCTAATGCAATGAACAAACCTCTAATTTATCAACTTTGGCATAGATGTGGTTCATTTCCATCACCTTGTCTTTAATGAGCGGCATGGTCTCACCCAGGATCTCCGATGTATCACTTCTAATCTGCATGAAAAAAAGTATCTCACATGAGGATGAATCTTAAAGATCAACACCACACTTTTTTTTCACTTCGCTATTTTTTCACGAGTATTTCAAAAAACACCCATTCAGAAAAGATATCACAAGGGCCTTTTTGCAGTATGTTATAAAGTACAGATTGGGAAAATAACTTACTTTCCCACGTAATCCATGAGACAACAAAAACTCCAATAATTAGATGACAGGACTCCGACGTCAAAACTGTAACCAGATCCTTCCCTCTTCTCCCCAGATTTCCACACTACTCCTCCCAAGAGATCATCTACTTTCCATTAAGAAATACTGTAGACATGAGGGGTAATGATGGATTTAAAATGAAAAGTGCCTCTATACCATCCATCATGCTTTGCTTTTATTGGAGAAAAGCTAACTCATACTCCTTATCTATCGGTTTTTGAAAAAGATTTGGGTTAGCCTATGGCAAGTAGTCCTAATTCAGGGGTAATGGGCAGGTCACTCAGCTATGAACGGGTGCTAAAAGACTGTTTACACCTAACTAAAGCGATTTAGTCTGCAACTGGCCCTAGCACAGAAACAAAGAAAAGGCTGTCCTGGGCCACATCTGTGAGTGCACCATTTCAACAGGGGCTCCAGACGAGAGTTGTCAGGAGAGCAAAAGTCTCCACACACATCATAGCATAGGCACCTCAGAGAAAGCTCCTGCTCCCTAGTGCCAGTTCATTCCCACCACAGTGAGTGTCCTAATACAGGGAAGATTATATTGGGGTTTTGTTACCTAATGCAACCAAGCTTCTTTCCGGTATCCATACGAGAGCCTGAACCTCATCTGACATCCTGCTGAGTGTTGTGTTGGCAAGAACTACCCAATTTCCTGCAGAGACAACTGCCAGTGCCGTGCTGGGTAGCAGTAAGATACACCTCCAGGCAGAGTGCTGCAGCTAATGGAACGCACAAGCCAAAAATGATGGATAAGACAAGAACTGGGGAGAGCTCTCTAAGGGAAAGATAAACGCAAAACCAAGAAAACCTCCACTAAAACACCCAAATAGGCATTCTCATTTGTAAAACAGAGTAGCAACACATTGACAAGAGAAATAAGAGAGGCAGTTGAGCCCACCTGTATAAAAGTTTTCTTTCTCAACTACAATGGTGCGTAGGAGGTCTTGGTTCACTTTTGGATTAAAGCTGTTCTGCCTACAATATTCATAGACTTAAAGAATACAGAGGAATGAGGACCCCTTCAAAAGAGATTTTTGTCCCGAAGACTGAACTAGCCAATATTCTTCCTTCAACTTCATAAGAATGAGTAAGGATCTTTTAGCTAGAACCGTGAGAATCTGGAGTTGGACTAATACTGCAGGGAATTTTCTGGGCATTTTGAGATTTAATCCAGAATCTCAAGTAAAGCATATATGCCTGCTATAAGTAATGCAATCCATGGACCACGCACTATAAACTCTAATAGGTACTTAGACATTTTACTGATGATCATGTGACTCATTTCTGTGTTTGGGTTTTGGGTTTTTTTTAAGAGCTGAGTATAGACAAAGCTATATACATATAAAATGACTCATAGTAAGATTTTATGGTATTTTTATTACCAGAATGAGTACATGCAGATCAAGTGCTTTTATAGAGCTATAAATGTTCTGTAATAGGAGATCAAACACACATATCAAAATTGTAAACAAACCAACAATATCTCCTGTATTACTGGTCTCAGTAATATAAATATAAACCAAATTATAAACACGGACACCTCCCCCAGCCATGACATAACTGCATACACTGACACACTCTGTTATCTTTACTGTATGTGTATATCCAACACAAAGAGAATGCAGACACTCTGGCAGGATCCCTGTGAACGGATTTAGACTTATATTTTCTAACGTTAAATAAAAATACAGAATGAATACATAATGAAGGTGCCGAAGCAGAAGAAATCCAGGTTTGTTCTGTTGAATTCTTTTTGGTCGATGGAAGGCAAAGACCCCCTCCTCTATCATAAAGCATATGTGAAAAACCGACTGATGATGAGGTGAGGTTCATACTCAGGTAAACTACATCAGATTAAAATTCGAGCCTGGACTTTCCAAAGATAAGCTAACAAACTTGTTTGCTAATGTTGGTCTCAGAAAGGACTAGGGAAAAGCCACTCTTACAGCTAAATGCTTGATAACTACTGTAAATATAAACACAGTTTGGGACATAGCCAGAAAGAGGGAGATGTTATACTGACCCAGTACAAAACATATCAACACAAGGTCAGAGCAGACACGGAACAAATCTACTCCATCTTTCTTTGAGGGTAAAAGCAAACAACCAATACAAGACACAGGAGAGCTGATTTTCCAGCAAGCAGCCTGTGATGAAAGGAAATGATATGCAAATATGATTCAAGAAGAGTCATTCTGCAGCAGTCTGCAGAACCACAGCGACAGAGGAGTTCAAGAGGAGTCAGCACATGACAAAGGGAAATGATTCTCTTGGTACAGCAGCCTCTCATGAGCCAGAGAAAGCAGGACTGGTCTGAAACCCCACATTATAAAACAAGATTTATTTCCCCGTGTGCAATGTATTTTACTTTATCTTACTGAAGATTTAGCTGAGTGCTCTGCACAAGCACCACAGCACAGCAGTCCATAGGAGAAAAACCTGTATTCCTCTTAGTAGGTTTTACTGTGCTAATTGAAGGAGGGGGTGATGAAGGAAGGTTTGATTCAGCTTTGTCTTCTAATTCAAGTCAGCAAGACTAAGCTCAAGGAGGTAGCAAACCAACCAAATCACAGTCAGTTAGGAGACAGCACAGCCAGAGTATGAGTGATGAATTAGAACGTAAACCAGGAATGGCACAGTGCATGTAGGGCACTGAGACCAGATCCTCGCATACACTGCAGTTCAAGCTGTACCAGTTAAACAAGCACAGATTCTTGTTATTTTGTATTTTATAAAAAGTATTATTTTTTCAAGAGAAGGAAAAAAAAAGGTAGCTGGAGCCACAAGTCAAAGACTGTGCAAATTCTAGTTGTCACAGGGAGTTTCTGGAAAGGATCTCTTTATATTCTTTTTCGTTCTTTGATCCCATATGTTAACACAACATAAAAGGATCGTGAGTAAAAGTAACCACTGTAAACTGAACAGCTCAGTTGTGAGAAAAGAGAAAACCGAGGTTGGTATGTTCCTCAGCAGTTAGCAAACACTAGCCACAGCCAGCAAAACTACCTCTTCCTCTCTTTTCCCCAGTGATGAAACCAGGTTTCACACCTAAGGCCTCAGGAGGGAGGTTCCCAAACTCTAAGTCCATGAGACAACGGTAACCAGTTAGCAGCTGGTCTGTGGAACCACAATAAAGCAAGATTTACAAACACATCATTTCCCTAGGCAAGTTCTGCAAGAAGGTTCAATGGCTTGACAACCTCTAACCTGTAGTTGTATAAACTGGTGAGTATGCTGGAGAATTAACATATGCGTTTAAAAAAAAAAAGAGGAATATCAAACATAAGCAGAGATTTTGCATCTATCCATACCTCCTGTTAACGGATTAGGAGCCATAGAAATGGAAGCAGTGAATTCACACATGTAACTAAACCAGCTGTGCAACTCTGAATAGATATTATTTTCAATCATGCTTTAAGCTATACAAGAAGCACGAAGAATTGTATCTAAAAAGGTAGCCAACAATGACCCATGGAACAATATAAGGACAGCAAATACAAAAGTCTGGTTATTACAATGAATTTTTTTTTGCTTTTTTGTCACTGGTTCAGATCATAGCTTATTTAAAAATTACGGTTGGATAATACTTGAGAGGCTCTGAAGCCACTTGTCAGTGCCCTAAGGAAGACCTCACAAAAAGTTAAATAACTGGCGCTAAAATTCTTCTAGCACAATCTTTTCATTGCAAGATGCTCCTTCCATGGCAAGTGTGAGGCACGCTGACCCGCATTTACATTGTCACTGTAACTTACCTCTGTGCAAGTGTCCATTTTAAGCACTGTGCCATGCTGTGCCTAGCCAGGTACAACAGTGTGACATTTTGTCTTCCTAGCACCAAGGATCCAGGTTTTTCCTCACTGCAATATTCAAATGTATGCATCAAGACTCCTTGTAAGTGAAAAGCAGCAGCACACTCAAAGGAGAAAAGCCACATCCCTCTATGCGAATACTTTACTGAACGCCCAATTGAAAAAAGCAAGATTCCCCCTGCCTTTTGTTGGCATAGACAAAACACCAAATTATTGCTAAGCACAGAAGCTAGCATCAGTTCAAATACTACATTATATTTATCAGATTCCCAGATACCACTTGACATGCTGCTGAAAGGAACCTTACATTGTAGGTACTGGATAGAAAGGCACAGAATCAGCACACTGACTGCAGTGCTTTGATGTTCCCAGATAAGGTCAATAATCTACATACTAGGGAATTACTCACAGCCCGCAGGTTGTGGAAAAATGTTTTCAGGGGCAATGTAAAGATAGTGTATTGAAACTAGGTTAGTGGGTTTTGTAGAAAAGGTTGGCATAAGAAGTCTCACAGGAGGTTTAAGGGCTCACCGGATCTCTCTGAACAAGCTAACCATCTTCCCTTTATTGGAGCCAAAAATGTGCAGTGCATACTTGATTGATGGGGAAAAGCACAAGGTACATAGAAAATCTTTGAGTAAGCTCCCAAACAGAATTGAGTGAATGAACAGTAAATCAGACAGAATACAATCAGCAGTGATGAGCTATTGATTCAAACCACTTGCTTTGAGCAGGTGATGTCGTATCACTGGAGCAACCATCAACTTTCAGGAACGAACTCAAAGGATTTTTTTGGCCCAAGAAACCAATCTCTTGTATTCTACATTTTGCACAGACTAAATGTGCCGTACTAGAATATCTACAGCTGACAAACGTAAGCCAAGACGTATCAAAAAATAGACTGCATGCTCTGAGGTTCACATGCTCCTTTACAGCTATTTTTGTTAAAAGCTGAATGGAAAAAGAACTGCTTAA